CCATTTTTTCTCTCTCACCGCAGATCAATTTCTTTCTTCCGAAGAACGAAAATGGGATTTTTGATTGATTGTTTCTAATTTCCCTCACCGCCTTGTAACGGAGGATCTCCGGCTGGACCAGCTCAATTGGGACGCCATTGATCTTTATCAATCCGCGCCCCCCTTCCACAGAAATCCCTTGAGAGAGAGCGAGAAGAAGAGAGGCTGCTGAATGGGATTTCATTTGTTTGTGTGGAGGAGAAGAGTAGGGGTTGCGTGATTAGGGTTTATATTTTGAGAAAAGCCTCGTCCATTTTAGTCGGTGGGTTAGACCGGTTAAATTGCTATAACAAATGACAACGTGCAATGAATGTTGCGAAAAAAGTTAATGGCAACGTTCAAACGCACGTTGCTAAAAGAATTAACGACAACGTACAATGAACGTTGCGAAAAGTTTAATGACAAAGTTCTAACACGCGTTGCTAAAACACTCAATAGCAACGCGCATTGCATGTTGCTAAAAGTAATTAACGGGCTAAAACATTAACAGCAACGTACATTGCACGTTGCAAAAAGAAAATTAACAGCAACGGACTTTGAACGCTGCAAAAGGGTGTATTAGCAACATTCTTTAAAAAAACGTTGTCAAAAGTCTTTTTTATCAATCAATAGCAACATGCACTTGCTGAATGTTGCCATAGACCCCTTTTAGCAATGTGCAATTGATGAATATTGCCTTTTGCATGTTGCAAAAGGCCTTTTTTCTTGTAGTGAATGATGAGTTTTGGGAATCATTAAGAGCCTATAACTTTCCACACTCCAAAGGCTTTTCTTATGCATAGAATGAATGACTGTACAAACAATTATATCAGCCATCCAATATTGTATCAGCAGTAAACATGGGACATAGTGATTACATGAGATCCAAAATTATAATGGACTAGGATTCATCAAATAGGAAATTCTTTTTTGACTTGTATTTAATAGAAAGCTGATGTGCCCCCCTTGCTAAACAATTTAGGCTTTCCAGAAGTTTCTTTGCAACCAAGCAGTATCACTTCTTGAGGTACTGAATCGTCAATGTTCAATAGTTAAATCAGGACGTATCTAGAAGCCAGTACATGAGGTCCTCTTTATCAACGAGAACAAGGTTTAAATAGTATTTCACGCTAAAATTGTTATTGATGTTTTTGAGATGTTTGTGTCAGCTCATATGGGCTCAGAAACAGTCTGATTGGCATTGATTCACTTGTGATGCCAACGAGCATTACATAAAATGTCATTATTCATCAAATTAGCACACATATATACTAAGAAATTGGTTGTACGGAATACAATTTATGCCAACTTTTTTGACTACTCAGTGAGTGAACAAACAAATCCCAAACCAAGCTACCATCTCAAGGGGGAAAGGGAAGAGGAAGCAAATTGCTTATACTAAAAGAGGCAAATAAAAATTCTTAAACCTCTGACTGGAGCATCATCCATCAGCTCAAACGTGGCAAGTGTCTCTGTCTCGACATGGGTGCTCGCCCCTGAACCAGTTGATTGACGGCGTCTGATTTCAAGATCCATATTCTTCAACTTGATTCTTACTAGTAGAAAATATATTTTGCCAACATCTTTGAGATGATACCTGGATATTATAATTCAATCAGCAGGGCCTATAACAAATTCACGTCTATAGAAAAGTAATAGCTTCACAAAAACCAGAAGGATTATTTGATGAAATACAGGGCACTCACAGATAGGCAGAGGAAAATTTAGTGGATTGATCAAGAAAAAACAGAAATTGGACAATTGAACCAATAAAGACCCATCCGTCTATTTATAGTGGCCAAGAAGCTTTGAGGTTCTTCTCTTTATGTTTCAGTTTTGTTTTTTGAATTTTGAATTCATTTTGCGTTTTGTGTTTTAAGTGTCTATTTTGAAATTTCTGAAAATGCGTTCTTTTTGTCATTCTGAAAAACTGTTTTTGAAAATATAAAAATGGAAAACGCGTTTACTTTTAAATTTTGAGAATTTTTTTAATAATA